ACATTGTCATATATGTATATATTATCAATCTATCAATCAATCAATCTATCTATCTATTTATCTATCTAGATGAATACACCTGGAAATTATTCTAGCACCCTGAACTGATTCTATCTCAGAGGCATTTAGCTAGCTTCCACTCTCTTGGAAAAGTCCAAAATATATTACAAATTGAAGTCAACAGTGAAACAATCTCAGAAGCCTTTGGGAATATTAATACTTCATCTAGAGGACCTATTCACCAAACTTGCAAATCATGTTGTTATTCTGGACAGTGTTGGGGGAAGAGGGTCAAAGAGATGTTGAAATCAGAAAGGCATGCAGCTTTTTTTTTGTATTGTTACATTTGTAAAAACATCATTTTCCTCTTAAGTCAATATTATTCTAAAATGGACACCAAGATTGTTATTTTTTTCTTGACTGCAAAATGACACCAAGAAAAAACTGGACAGATAAAGAGGTAGTTTTAAACTTCATGTAGAGTAACATCTAAAAAGCAGAATTTTAAATCGAATGGTAGATGTTTCTTTTTTTATACAAAGAAATAACAAAGATTTATTAAGGCCATATAAACACATCCTCCTTCACTTTCAGGGGTTCTAAAGACTCAGCAAGTTACAGGGTTACTCTATCATAATTTCATAAATTCCTCCTGACAGTGGTTCATTGCACTAATGTGACCACATACATTCCAACTCATCCAGTCAAGTGTAGCATTTTTTTCTATTCAAGTATTCTCAAAGTTTAATTAAAGCAGCCAGCTATCTAGTAATTACTTCCCCTGTCCATCTTACCAGCTCCTTATTGTCTCCTTTTGAATTGATTTCTGACTGCAAACCCAGCCTATGCAAAAGTTGAGAATGTGTGGGCAGAGACTAACGGCAGAAGTCATTTCTTCCTTCCCTTCATTTAATTAAAACAGATTGCCTGAAAAAAAGATTTAAGGCTGATTTTAACGTGCAGGAGTGTTTGGACAATTTTTAAATGCCTATTTCTAAAAGTTGAAGGCTGTCTTTTCAATGAGTACTTGTTTTCTGCTCTTGCATCCATCCCTTACTCAACAGTGAGTTTAATTTTCCTCGAGTATGCTGTTGGCAATGTCTTTCTCCCACTTCAAACTCCTTCTGTGACTCTCCTTGCAGTAGTGTCCGCAGCTAAACACAGGCGTCACAGACTGGTTTTCACCTAGCTGTGTGGTTTTGGGTTCCATGTCTTTGTGTCACCCAAAAAGTGTCAAGATGCTCTCTTCTATGATTTTCTTTGTCACTGTCATCCATGTCTCACTCTGTACTTCTGGTCACAGGTCTTCCTCATCTGGAGCTATTTTTACTCCAGACTGCAAGTCTTGAACACATGCAGCACGTTCTCCAAGGTCCAATTCGATTTCACCTCGTTCTTAATGTTTTTCTAGATCTTCCCATTCCATTCGTTTTTTTCTCTTTCAAAAAATCCCAACAGCAATGCTTCCGTATCATCCCTACAGTACCAGTTAGTGGTCTTCTATGTTATATAATGTCTATTTATAAATGGTACATGTGTGTCATAGAAGACAAAAGGCTTCAGGTAAACAGAAACCATGTCTTTCAGACCATGCAAAGCTAAAGTGCTTCCTTTTACAACAGATAGAATACTCTATAAATGGGGTAATGTTTGAATACATAATTGAATAACAGATTAATTAATAAACTGCTAAAGATTCAATACCCATGCTTCTCCTTCGGAGAGGCCCCCAAAGACAAAGCTATGTCTTCATCAATATGAAGGGGAAGAAAGGAGACAGTTGAAGCATGCTGAATTATAAACTAAGAATAAAATAGAAACTAGCCAAGTGAAATCTTAACAGAAGTTAAAAAAAACACACTTGCAAAGCTTATTTCCTTATTATACTCAGTCCGTGTTCATGCCAAATTTCACTAGATAATATTGTTCTCATCTTATACTGCCTCTTGGAATGTTCAAATGAGCAACTCTTCCAATAGGATATGCTAATCTGCTACACTTACACTTCATATATTTCATTCATCTGGAAGGGCAGGAAACAAATCCAATTTTCTACCTTGCTTTTAGAGATTCAATATTTAGCATATGAGTAGAACATACAAAGTATTCAAGCCCAGTGGCTCTAAATACACCCTCTTTTGCCACCCTAATCGCCATGTGGGGAGCCTCAATCTTTTGAATCCTTCTTGAGTAAGTTACCAGCTATAGTTCTAGTATTATTAGTTACTGCTCCACATATAGGTTTTAATGTTATTCCAGATCCCTTTCCTCCAATCCCTGACATAAATGTCACCAACAGAACTTATTTTTGTCAATGAACAGAAGTTATTTTACTGAAGGTAATCTCCCTTCTCTCTTCTTAGGACTGTATGTCTTAGAGAGATCTGTGAATTGCATGAGTCTCAAAGGAGACTTGTTTCGGAGTTCTCTTAAGATGAGACACAAGGCAAGAACTAGACTTCAAAGTTCCTACAATCTTCCTGTAGACTTCAGAACGGGCTTTGCAGTCTCTGTCAAACTAATTTTTGTGTTTAGTCATTCCACTATTCCTTCTTTATATACTACATCATTTTGCCTTTCTCCTTGTCATCCCTGTGATTAGGCCCTAATCCCTTCTCAAAAAATTTCTATGCAGAGAGACAGACATCACGAGAAGTATAGAAAGTTGATTAGGCTGACAGCAGACTCTTTTACTGCAAGAATAACATCTGAGAAACTTGGTCCTGGACTATGCCAGTCACACTGGTTCTGAGAGAATTGAGAGAAATGAGACTAGGTCAAGGTGAGAAAGCAGAAATAGCTGTTATCAACAGTGCATGTTGTTCTCTCAGCTGAAGAACACGAGACGATTTTTCTTCCCCAGATGTTCTGCCATCTGCAGGTCTAAGCTTATATGCGCTTGTTCTCAAGATCTACAGAAATTCCAGACTCAGTGGTTAGCTGTGTGTAACTTCACTTTTTAATGTTCTAGACCTCATGTTGCTTGTCTGTCATCATTTTTAGCGCCCACTTGGGAAGATGCTTTTATTGGAAGTCATTTGCTATTCTGACACTGTAGGAAGCTGGTACAAGTTGTAGCTACTTCAGACCCCCTACAAAGAGCCTTGTATGCTGATAACTTTCAGTCCACTAGAAATAAATTTATCAAAGAAATTCTTATTTATTCCACCCTCCCCCCCCAGAAAAAAGAAAGTTCCACAAGACACAGCTTACAGGACAGTACAGGGGCTAAGGTGTTTGCCTTTCACATAGTCTATCAGAGTTCAATCTCTGGCACTGCATCTGTTCCTTGAGCACTGCCAAAAGTGATCCCTGAGCACAGAGCTAGGAATAAGCCCTGAGCAATTCTGGGTGTGAGGTGTGATCCAAAACCTCCACGATTTAAAAAAAGAAAGAAAAGAAAGAAAGAAAACAAACAAGCGCGCATCTTTCTTTTATTCCAATAATCCATCAAAATTGAAGCTGGCAAAACAGAAGGGTTGAATCAAAGAAACATCTGAAGCCGCATGGAAAGGCTGTATTCTGGGTCTTATTTTAAAGAAAGAGAATCGGGCATATTTCTTAAACCAGAAATTAACAAGTCAGCAGCACTCCATGTAGCCGAAAAATCTAAGAAACAAAATCAAGAGGTAGCAAGGAAGAACAGTACTCTATCCTGAGAATCTTGCTTTCATTCTCCACAGAAAGTACCATCTAAGCTTTTTAGCAAAAATGCAAGAGACTGTTGACAAAGAAAAGCACACGTCTTTGTGAAACTCCTGTAGTAATCACACATCAAGGAGAGGTTATGTATGAAATACTGGCAACTAAATTTTCCCTAGCATTTTGAAGATCAAAAGAATATCTTTATTCTACCTATGAGACAACCCCAGCCTTATTCCTCCCCACTGGGGAGAAGGAAGCAAACTCTTTGGTTTCTCATGTCATTACCACAGACTGAAATGATGTAACAATAATAGCAAACAGGGGTGTCCCCCTGTGCCAACTCTGTAATCAGTTTCAAAGTATGTTTTGTTGTTTCCCATTGACGCTACTCAAAGGAACTGGTCACTCGTGGTCTCAAAAGTTTTACAACAAATTGTGTGATTAAATTCCTTAAACACGACTGTCCATTACTAATCCTCTTTTGCCAACATCCTTTTCAGGGAAAAATTGCAGCGCTCCATGGTGCCTGATTTATATTTCATTTTGAGAACAGGAAGTAAAGGGATTAAAGTTAAGGATTAAAACACTTACTCTTTACTGCATTTTTTTTCTCCTCCCAAATGGCTTCCTGGTTGCCATGGCTACTGTTCACTGGTCCTTACCCCTGAAAGCAGGTCTCTTTGCATTAATAAAATATTTCAAACGAGAGTTTGTGGAAAACAATATGAAGCTGCTTTACGTTCAATTGCTCTTGAGGCAGCTTGATTTTTTAAAAAAATCCTTTTCCCCCTTTGTCCTTTTATTGGTATCCTGAAGAGTGAAACTTGAACTAAAGACAGCACAGAGACAATCACAAGATACACAATGCAAAATCAAAATTATGCAGCAGTGGCACAAGATTACCCTGAGATAGAGAACCAGTCCTTCCTTTACAAATGAGTGTTTGTAAGAAGATTAAGGGTCCCTGGGAATTTCTCAAATGTTGCAACACCACAGAACATTTTAAAGGCAAAAATGCACGTAAATGCAGTGTTGCAATTCCACACTGCAAATACCAGCCAGGAAATGAAAAACCAAAGCTTTCACAACCACAAAGTTAACTTGACCATGTCAATGTAAATATCACTGCTCTGTATCCAAAGTCACTGGTGTTCTCAGTGACATTATCTGCATGGAAGTGTGGCGAAAGAGGAGATAGCCACAATCAACGAGTATTATCAGAGTGAGGGAGACCTCATGTAGAGGGCACACAGCTGATGCTGAGTCGGGTGTTGAAAAGGAAGGGTGACATTGACAAGTGAACAAACACAACTGCATTTGAGTTGTTCCTTTACAAACAACTCCCTTGGCATTCACTTTAGAATATAATGACTCCAATGCCTTTCAAAAGCCAAGGAAAACTAAGGAGATGGAAGAGTACAACTCCATTTAAAGGTATCTATTCCTGTATTTTATATTATAGTCCAAGGACAAGTTTATTTGATAGCTGAAAGTTTGTACCTTTTGACCCCCAGCCTTTTCTACCCTCTTCCTTCCCATCAATCTCTACAATAGAAAAGATGCATTTTCATAAAGTCCAACCAATAGCAAGGTAGGCTTCAGGATGAATAGTGAGGTTCAAAACTCCATTCAATTCATTTTCTTTTATTTTTTTCCCTCCCTCCTTCCCTCCCTTTCAGTTTTGGGGCTACACAACTGGTGCTCAGGGCATATTCCTGGCTCAGAGCTCAAGGATCACACAGGTATTCCTGGAGGACCATATGCAATGTCAGGAAAATAAAAACTTGACTTCAAGGAAAGCACTCAAGATATAGCTGTCCTATCTCTCTAGAACCCAATTATTTTTTCTCTTCAATTCTCTAGTGATTAGTTTTTCATTTCTTGATTCATCTATGGTTTAAAACAACAATTTTTAACACTTTCTCCAAATTCTATTGGAACTACATTTCCCAGGTACAAGTATACTCAATTTTTAAAAATTCTAATCTCATACTGCCAATAAAACCAACAAAGTGAAAAATTTCTTCTAATCTCATACTGCCAATAAAACCAACAGATCCCTATGAAAAACTTACATAGGGATCTCTAGAGATAGTCTAAAGATAGGAATAATGATTATAATGGTGGCACTCCTAAGCAGATTGATGGTATGGCTGATTTAAGTAGAGGCAACTGATTCCCAAACAAACCATGAGATGCAGTGTTATAGAATATGAAATAAACGTGTATGAAAAAGGTCTGAGTTGTATACCAGCCCACAAAATTTAGAACCATGTCCTATAAACATCCATGTTCCTGCTTTTCTTGATTTATCTTTTCTTTAGGGAATCACTTTGGAATGATCCTGAAGATGTGGGGCCATCCCATGGACCGGATGTGGTTAGGGATGTGGTTAGTGTTTTGCTGTCCTTCCACATTTGCAATCAAAAGGAAACAACATTAGTCTCTTTCTTTGTTTCAGGAAGCAGTTTTCTAAGGATCTCAAGTCTTTCCATGTCTTGGGAGTAGAAATACAAAATTCCTTTCTAGACTATGTTTTTAAGCATGGCTTTATGCCAAACGATCACGACGATCACGACCATCCTGTTGTTCGTCGATTGCCTCCAGCAGGCCCCAGTAACGTCTCCTTGGTCCTAGCCCTGAGATTTTTTAAAAACCTGTGCCATATTCAAGGCTCTTTCAGGGTTAGGAGAATGAGACCCATCATTGTTACTGGTATTTGGCATATTGGGTACGCCACGGGGAGTTTGCCAGACTCTGCCATGTGCCAAACAACATTGGAAAATTGACTGTAATAGGAATTCTGCCTTAGAAAAAGGAAGCCTTGCTTATGTCCATAACGAAAAATGGGGGCCACTTAATCTCAAGAGATCCTTCTTGTAACACAATCTGCTAACTATGCAAGTACCACCTATACTCTTGGTGTCATCTTGTGGGAAATGGAACTTAAGAAGCTGGCACAAGACAATGATGATACTCTGGCTTCTACTATTGTTCTGAGTAATAAGGCCTCTTTGTCTCTGACCTAAGAAGCTTATGTCATCTGTCTATAACCATGAAACTGTGACAGGCTAATTTATTTTCCCATACACTGAGTAAAATTTCAGACCCTTTGAAATATCTGACCACATTCAGGATCTTTGCTAGGATGTTCAGAGCATACTTATTTTTTTTTTTAAATCAGGGTTTCCTATTTAAACAGTCAATTGGAGTTAGCCTAAATCAGTATCTTAGGATCATACCAGAGGCTCAATTTCAAGTAAATCAGCTCAAGAAGTATCACACGAACCAGCAAGAGCACCATCCTATAAAATTAGGGTCTACCCATAAGTTCTCAGGATGATCCCCAGGCATGAGATTCAGAACTTATTAGAGCATTACTAGCTGACCTTAGTTTAGAGGAAACGGGAACACCAAATGCACTTCGATGGAGAAAACTGGAAGCTACCCACCTTGTGGATGCCAGTGTGGTTTGGAGTCATGCTTAAAAGTCAGGCTTGGAAAACTTCAAGGGAAGTACATGAAACACAAGAGGCTTCTTGGAGTAGAGCTTTAGTCAGATCCCCACTTTCCACGCTATCATCTTCTAAAAGAAGGACACTGTAAGCTTTTGGGAGCTGCCTCATGCCAAAATCTGGTTGATAAATCGTAAGATTTTCCATGTTGGAAAACCAGTTAGCCAAAAGTAAAAATGTTTGCTAAAGGAGCACAAAACGTGGAGGCAGAAAAACTCAGCTGGAGTATAGTTCAGTTACTTAACTGTGTTCTGTCAAGCAATTCAACTTCTCCCAAACTCAAGTCTCCTATCTCTAGGATGGGATTAAAAAAATTTCGAATACTAACCTTGATTCAATTTTATGAAGTGGGAAAAATGTCAACAGGTAGAAAATTCCCAGAAAATTGCTTTATACAGATATTTGGAGATTACTATTATTCTTAATATTCCTATTCCAGGTTTTCACTCTTTCTTACATAAGAGAAGAGACTAAAATGGGTAATTGCACCCATTATTACTGGGTGTTTTAAATGTGAAACTATTTGTTCTTGCTATTACTTATTACTGAGTATGAGAACCATCAAGCCTGTGCTTTGCTGTGTTGAAATTCCTGATCAATGTTAAGTTTCATATCTGCAGTAGGGAGGGGCATTATAATTGGGTAGTAATGGGAGGTAAGGGAAACACAAAGAAATTGTGAGATTTCTTTGCTTATTTATGCCATGATGTTAGATGTGCCAATGTCTGAGTGTGCATACAATGGAAATTAGGGAACCAACTCCTGACACTTTCTCATTAAAAAGATCATGAATGTTTTTAAAACAAGAATAAAGATGGAATGGAGAGTAGATCATTCTTGGATCTTTTTTGAGTACACAGCAATGAGATCTGATTTCTGTATTTGCTTATGTAGAAACGCGGAAATGTCAAGGATGTCCTTTGTACTATCATCTCAAAATACAATTTCTATTCAAAGTCCACAGTGGGTAAATATTATCCAAATTCTTATAGCCAGTGCTTGGATGCTGCACCAGCTCAAAATACTATTTTCTAACAGCTTCTCATCTGTTTTCATCTATGGTTTCCATATTGACTCCTTTTTTCCCCAAAACCAATAATATCCCTGAAAACAGTGAGGAAAAATACTCAAGGTAATAATTAAAAAAAAATTTAATGAAACACCGTGAAATATAATCACATACTCAGACACTTTCGTGATTACGTTTCAGTCATACAATGGTTGAGTAATCATTCCTCCACCAGGGATGATTTTACCACCAGAATTACCACCATTCTCCACCACCAATGTTCCCAGTATCCCTCCCCCCATCCCCATCTCCCCTTCCCCACCTCTGTGGCAGGCACATTCCCTTTTACTCTCTCTCTCCTTTTGGGTATTATGGTTTGCAATACAGGTATTAAGTGGCCATCATATTCTGTCTAGAGTCTACTTTCAGCACGCATCTCCTATCCCGAGCGAGCCCTCCAGGCATCCTTTGCTTGATAGTCCCTTCTCTTTTTCCCCAGCAAGTGAAGCCGGCTTCCAAGTCGTAGAGGAATCCTCCTGGTCTTTATCTCTACTATCCTTGGATGTTAATCTCCCATTATGTTGCTTTATATTCCACAATCAAGGTAATACTTTTTACTATTTATTACTAAACAAATCAAGATAAGTCTCAGATGTGACATAGCAGTAGACCAAATGTTACACATATGGGAGCCTGGACTTGATCCCTAGCACTGCAGATGCAAAGAGTCAAATTAGAGGGTCCTTATCATTTGCTTCTATGTAATAGAAAAATATTGGAAAGGGATGTACCTATGTCAAGTCGTTACTATAAAGTATTCTCAACTCTGCTACATGGAATCTGTTTTCCCCATGAGAGAGTGCTGAATGAGATATGTTTTGGAATTAATTATTGGCTATAAGACAGGAGAGGAGAATCAAACTTAGCACAGGAGAGAGGATATGAAAAGAGTCCACCTAACTAGCTGAGAAAGTCAACAGATTCTAAATCTACAATCTCTGCTACCAAAAACACTTGTAAATGTGATTATATAAATATCCTTTGAGAAAGTACAAAGTCATAAGGCTCAGAAAATGAACATAAATTATACCTTAAATATCAACTTATTTAAAAAAGGTAAAACTTAGAATGGCAACTCACAACCAGAGAGTTTACTTATTTATTTATTTATTTAGTTTTATTTCTGACTTTAATTGCACTATTTCAAGTGTTTAACAACCAGACAGTTTAAACACTATGCTTGGGAAGTTGGTGAATACAGCAGAAGGAAGAAATTCAGTAAGACTGAGGATGGGGTTATTGAGAATAACCAGAGAATTCCCATTTCCTTTTTAAATATCAATTAGTGGAAGTTGAACTTACAGGGAGCCTCAAATTCAACAAAACATTTTGCAGAATCTATCAGGAATACATTCTGAATGAGACCGAGAAATTTGAAATTGGTAATAACCTTGTTGGATGCAGTGGTCAGAACTGGATGAGTTGTTGTATCTCAAGAAAACCGATGAACAGCAACATGCCAATCGAATGAGACACCTTCTCTTCATTTATACTAAATTTTTAATTCATACCACATTACTGTGAAATTATCTTTTTAGCATTATAGATTTGATTGTGGCTGATATTTAAACATCTCAGCAGGACATTAGCAGAAACACCTTAGCAGGAAGGTGTTGGAGCAATGGTTATGTTGTCAACCTTTTCAGCCTGAAAGCTTGCTTCAAAAGTCAATAAATAATACCATGAATCTCCTGTGACACCAGCTGAAAGAAGTGTTTCACAGCACTGGTTTTGGACTCTGGTCCTCAGATATTCCCTCTGTAGAGGTCCAGAAAAATTTCCTGTTGAGTATGAAAAAGTTGCATTTGTTTAAAACGGGGTTCAGGCCTGCTTGCTTAATTGGTTGTTTTAAACCGGGAGAAGCTCAGGAGTTCCTCATGGCTCAGTGCTTGGGCGAAGCTCCTAGCAGCTGGAACCAGGGCCTCCTGCATGCGTCCCAGCCCATCCAGCCACCTCTGACGCACAAAGAGTGGCATTTGTCAGTGCAGTGGTTCACCCTGCAATGCTCAGGGCTTACTCCTGGCTTTGTTTTGTTTTGTTCTGTTGGAGCCATGGCCAGCAATGTGCAGGGCTTACTCCTAGTTCTGCATTCAAGGATCACTCCTGGCAAGGCTCAGGGACCATATGTAATATGACAGAACCTGGGTCAGTCATGTACACGGGAAACATCTTACCATTGTACCATGGCTCCAGTCTACAAAGAGTTATTTCTTCTTAATAGGGCTGGAGGGTACACCCTGCAATGCTCAGGGCTTACTCCTGTCTCTGTACTCAGGAATTACTCCTGGTGGTGCTCAGGGGACCATAAGGAATGCCAGGGATCGAACCAGGGCAAATGCCCTACCGGCTGTACTCTCTCTCCAGCCCCAAGAGTGATTTTTAATTTTTACTTCCTGGGCTGGAGCGATAACACAGCAGGTAGAGCCTTTGCCTTGCACGCAGCCAAACCGGGTTTGATTCCTCTGTCCCTCTTAGAGAGCCCCGCGTGCACGGCAGAGCCTGGCAAGCTCCCCGTGGCATATTCGATATGCCAAAAACTGTTACAACAAGTCTCACAATGGAGACGTTACTGGTGCCTGCTCGAGCAAATTGATGAACAACGGGAGGACAGTGCAACAGTGCAGTGCTACTTACTGGTACTGATCTGAAGATGTGAAAAGATTAAGAACAACTATTCTAACGTATGAGTGAAATGGAGAGCCCCAAAACAAAGATGCTCCAAATGCTAAAATAGCTGGTAAAAAAATTGTAGGGATCTATAGATATCAACAAAGAATTTCTATATGCAGTGGCAAAGTCACTATGGAAAGGTAAAGCATTCTCAGCACAGTACCAGAGGCTGCCGCAGGTGTCCCCAGTACGTAGGTTTCCGATTCAGAAACAGAAAGATTGTTCGGACATACTAACCTAGGTAAACAACACTTAACAATTGTCTTAAAGGCGTAAGATTTCATGAAAATGCTTTACAAACAGCTTTTTACAACTTTTTAATGTGAATACCCATATCGGGCTGTGGAGAGAAAGAGGTTCCATGTAAATACACTCAGTTCTGATGGATTCCAGCTGTGCCCGCAGCTGGCCTCATTTAATGGCAATGCAGCGAGCACCCATCCTCGAAAACCACTCACAGAAAAGCGTCTTTCTATTGTAGTCAAAAGACTAACCCCACGAAAGCAGAGGCTATCTGTATGTAGTCTCTTAACCGTTAACTGAAGAGTTAATCTGCACTCAACAAACAGAAGAAACAGTGAACATTTCAGACATCACCTGACACTTTGTTAGTATTTATAAAGAGGGCACTGGATTGCCCATTGGAAGGAGCATCTTTTGCCAAAACTGTCCTGCGGAATGTCAAGATTGCAAACAGTATGTCAAGACTTAACAGCCAGCTTCATATTAGGCAGCATTGACTAATTCTGGGACATATTTTGCAGGTCTTTTGGCTAGTACGAAAATAGCATACCACCTTGTGGCATCATTCTTGGCTCCCTTTCTGTTTCTAAGCCTTTTCATTTCTCAGAAACAAGTTAGAGTAGAAGTAGTAATAAAAAAAATCATCCTGACTCTGACGCCAAAAGAAAAAAATAATGCATAACAAATGGCTATGAAATGTTAAAGCATTAAATACAGGCAAAATAAAATCCTTCTTTATTATCACTATTATCACAATCACTATTAAAACATCTCAAATATAGAGTGGATTTCACTTGATGAAAAACTCAAGTGTAGTCTTGCAGAAAGCTCAGATCAAGTTCCTTTAACTTCTCAAGCAAGAATTCAACGAAACCATCTGGGGAAGGAAAAATCTCATCTCTCCTTGGAAAATTCTTGCTCTTGTCTGATCTCCATCTCTTTAAATCACTAACATTAAAGACAGAATTCTCAGCAGAACTGGAAGTTATTTCCCTCTGTATTGTAACATCTCAAAATGACACTTTGTCCTGTGGTCACAGCCACCTCTACGTCCTCCTTAATGGTCTGAGTGTAGTCTACATGTGGGGCTGTCACGGGCAATAAGCATGTGCTTTTTCATCAACAACTACAATCAACTCTTGGGACTGCGGTTAATATTTGGATTTCACAGAGGAGGGCTTGCAGTTAAGACATGATAACCAACTTCTTTGAGCTTATAGCATTAAAACACTGGTGAAATAGGGATTTGAGTCATACAGAAGTGTATCTGCAGAAGAAATGGGCAGATAACTTACACAGGAGAAAACACTGGACTGAAGAGTTAGAAAGGATATGAGAAATCCTCTAAAAGGAAAACCAGAAAACAAGGTTTACAATGAGCCTAAGGGCTGGAATGACAGGACAGTGAATAGGGTGCATACCTTGCAGGAGGCCCACCCAGGTTTGATCCCCAGCACCCCACATGGTCCCCTGAGTCTGCCAGCAGTGGTCCCTGAAACTAGAGCCAGGAGCGACCTCTCAACATGGCTGGGTCTAGCCCCCAAAGAAAACAAAACAAAACAGTCATAAAAGTTAAACTCCTTAGCATGAAATAGACACCCTCCAGCTCCCTTCTTATTAGAGTATTTGCAGGGCAGAGAGAGTGTACAGTAGGAAGGCACTAGCCTTGCTGTGGCCAACCTGGATTTGATCCTTGTCACTGCATATGGTCCCCTGAGTACAGAGTCTAGAGCAAGCCCTGAGCATTTCCAGACCTGAGCACTTCCATACGTGACCCAAACAAAACAACAATAATGGAAGAATATCTATGGAAGAACATACAAATGGAAGGACTTTCTTTCCCATCCAGACATGGCTCGCTGTATGTATAAAAACAGGCCTTTAAATAGAATGTCTGCATGAAATTTAATTTTAATTTTTGTGTCACGCCCTGTGATACCCAGGGATTCCTCCTGGCTGTGTTCAGGGATCACTCCTGGCAGTGCCGAGGAAGGAAAAACAAAGTGGATAAATTCACAGCTCTATTCTGATCTCACTTATCATTAATTATTTTTAGACAGCTATGAAATTTTTGAGAGGAAAACAAATTAGCAGTGGAGTCTGAACTAGAGCAAACCAACTCACTGAAAATTTAACAATGACATTTTTTTCTCTCTTAGAAACCCTTAGTAGACAAAATAATGTAATCAACAGTAAGAGCTAACTTTGTCAGATATAATACACCAAGCACCTTCTCTAAGTTTTCTACTTAATTTCATGTGATATTCTATAAATACACGTTATTAACAAACATGACATAATCTTGTGACGTAAAACCCCCCCCGGCTGATTTAAGAGCTCCCATATTATGAGTGTGATGGTTAAATTCTGATACATAATACATGTTTTTAAAAAGTTGATTTATTTGCTTGCAGTATAATCTGCTTTACTCTCTAGCCCCGTGTCTTTAAATGGCATGAACCTATTTACTTTAAACTACTAACAGTGTTACAAAAAGGAGTAGATGTAAGAAAATATACTTGTTAATTCATTTCCTTCTATTTATCTAGTGAATTTATCTGCATTAATGGACATCATACTTTGAGGTTCACCATGTCCCATTTTCATGTGGCTAGTGTCACCTTCAAATAA